TGCGTCGAAGAGTTTTTTATGATTTTAATCACTGTCAGATATATCTATACTGGATCCAACTATGCAACGTCCCCACTATGCCGGTTTTTTTTTTTTTATGTCTGTTATTACCAATTCTCAGCTCTCACTAGATCCATTTTGATGAACAACACGTTAAAAGATCATAAATTGTATCTTGTCAAAGATATTACCCTCAATAATAGAAAAAAAGTTTCCTTGTTCCCCGTAAACGGGAGAAATATCCAAAAATGTTTAAAAAAATCAGTAATTTTCGACATTCTTTTAACTTTTTTTTTCTTAAAACTTTCATAACTTTTTCAAAAATAAACAAATCAACATAATTCTTTTTTATACTAAAACCTTAGATATTTCCCTTTCATTTGATATCATTTTTTTGAAAATCTAACTCTTAACCTGTTCATTGGAGGGGCTTTAAAATAGCAACTTTTTTACAGAAACTAACTTTTTCAACTTAATTTTTGAAAATGTTCCGGAAATACTGCGTCCTTTAAATATATATCAAGTTAAAACTTATTCTATGTACTATAAAATGAAAAAAATAATTTGTCCCGGCGACCTATCTTCTATGCGCAAATGGCTACCGTATTCAAAAATATGCTATTTTTCTATTAAAATTCTAGGTTTTGTATTTTATTTTATTTTAAAATATCTTATTAAAAGAATATACTGACTTTCATGAATATTATATAAATTAATTGACATTGAATAAAGTTCATAAGACATAAGAAATTAAACTTATTAAATTTTTTTTACTTTTTTTAAGTCGAAAAAGTAATTTTTAAATTTGAGTTAGCTTAAATAGCCAATTTTTTATGTCATGAAAGCAACGAACAGTTTTATTTTGTCCATTTTTTTTAAGTGACGAATGAGACGTACGGTTTTTGAGACGGTAACACTTAGGTTTTTCACGACTGTGGCACTGAATTTTTTTTTAATACTTTAATATTTTGAGTTAAAAAAAAATGTTTAACTCATTTGATTTTTATCTCATTTAGATTCAATAACTTCAATAAATATCAAGGATTCCATTACTGTAGTCTCCTCTCGTGAGAAGAAATTCATATTAATATTATTTTACTATGTGGTTTTTTTTTTTTTTTGTAGCTATCCTTTATTTTCTCAGCTCTCATTTGACCTACTTTTTTGACAATTTTTTTTTTTAAATTAAACACCATCTACAGATTTTCATGGAAGCGTTTTTTATGATAGTGATTTTAATCACTGTCAGATATCATCTATACTGAACCCAACTATGCCACGACCTCACTGTGCCGCTACCCCACCGTGCTGGGTTTTTTTAACTATCAGATATACCGGTAGTCAAAACTATTGAATAGTGCCCATCACTAGCATAAGTATTTGTTATATTTTTAAAGCTCAGAATATTTCAGGAACATTTTCAAAGGTTAAGTATCTATTTTTTACTCATATTTTTCAAGTCCTATATAAAGGGAAATGGTCAGATTAAAAAAAAGTATGTCAAATTAAAAGGATAAACATAATTTATTTATAAAAAAAAATTATTTGAAAAAAATTATGGCAGTTTCAAATACCAAAATAACATAGTGACAGAAAGTGATTTTTCACAGACACACAAAAATATTTCGGACACTATTTTGTTTTCATGGTGAAAATGTACATAAAAGATAATATAGAAAAAAAGCCAGCACAATGAGGTTGCAACACAGTGAGGACGTGGCATAGATGGGTCCAGTATAGATGATAACTGACATAAATTAAAAGCACTACCATAATAAAAGCTTCGATGCAAATCTTTAGATAGTGTTTAATTTAAAAAAAATGTTAGATTATTCAAAAAACTACATGATCTCTAATTTCCGTATTTATAATCTGATTACAAGTTTTATGATTTATAAGTGTAATATATGAATATATATATATATTTATAATATATAATGGGAAATGGTCCGATTTAAAAAAAAATTATGTTGCATAAAAAAAGAATATAAATAGCACTTATCTTAAAAATTTGTATTGATCCATACATTTTTCAAAAAAATTAAAATTTGAATACACCTGGTATTTGTGTCTTGCACCTGATACCTAGGCGTTACCCTTATTTCCTCTCTATAACAATAGCCTTTCGACACCTACAGCTAATCCGGAGTGTCAACCGAACATGGTTATTGCTGTATAATTACACGTACATGAATACCCAGGCAGCAAACTCAACATCATCTTCGAACACACTACACCTCTACAACAACCCCTCCTTTGGTGTTTTATTTGTGTTACGACATTATTAAGAATGTTTTTTACAGCACGATACTAGGAGCACTTGGTATTGTATCATTGATTGTTTCAGATATCTAAACTAATAATGATAATATGCTAAATATTGATAGTTTTGCGTGAAATTATTAGAGCTCGTTTATTGCTTGTTCGACAAGGACAATGTACACAATTATAATTAAATTATTAAATGTCTCAGCTACATCAGTGTAACTTTGCTTGACTTGTGTTAAAATGTATTAATTTTTTATAACTTTTACAAAAAACTAAAACAGGAGTTCCAGTAAAAAAAAACACTATATCACGTCCGTGTAAAGTGTGTTATGAAAAAATAGGGTGTCGAAGCATATCCGAAAATTGCAGCCATTTGTTTTGTGAAGAGTGCTTTGAAAATATTTTAAAAGAGAAAAAATGGTGTCCATTCTGTTTCGAAATTTGGAATGATGGTCGAAATATATAAGTTCTTTACACAGAAATATGATGAATAGAAATTAAAAAATTATATAATTTTATTGTTAATTTTGAAATTTTATTGTGTAATATAAAATTATTAAAATTACACTTATACACAAAAAAAAAAAAACGAGTGATACATTTTATTGCACATGTGTTTAATATACATTTATAACGTAAAATGATTAAATGTTTAAAGTAATTTATAAAAATATAATTAATAAGTCAATAAATGTAAAAATAGAAAAAATTTATTTTTGTGCGTGCGTTAGTGATGACGGTGTCGCACACACTCCTAGTGAATTTGTCTAACCGATATATGGTCAGTTCTTTGTAGTTGTAAAAATATTAAGTTGAATTCTAGGTTCCATTGTGGCCTTCCAATACTTTACATAAACTTTAACTTTAACTAAATATAAATTACGGGTTGGGTGTTTTACTTGAAACTCTGATAATAAAATTAAAAATTATTTATTAGATTTTTAATATTGACATGATTCTATTACGCGTATACAAATCAAACAATTAAATATAGTAAGAAAATTAACATAAAAAAAAAAACATTACCCAACTATCTGACACTTGCACTGCTGTGTGATACTGCAATTCTTAGAATGCCTCACAACAAAAAATTCTTCTCGGCAAACATTAATAATCACGCGTGTCACGTTTTTATTCTGAGGTGCCAGTACGCACTAACTAACCGGAAAAGAAGAGAAACACCACCGGGGTGTGAGCGATTAGAATACTACCCCCAAATATGAAATGAGTATTCAATAAAATATACGATTGGTTTTTGGCCCATACTAGTCATCGGATTCAATTGTACGACTTAACCACCGTACACCAATGTAATGATTTAGATGCCGATAGTGTCATACATGACTACTTAAATGCCGTTGGTCAAGTGGCGTGAGGGGGTTGGGTGATTATAAGTTACGTGGAACTTAACCGGACAGTAGTATGTTTTTGTTTTTACTAACACAATAGCCTGATGGCAGATTGGCTGATTATGGCTGATTATCAAATATAATTTTCTAACACAATATATATATATATGTAAAAATTCCTAGTTTATTCATAAATAACGAACTCTAAAGAGATATTGAAAAATCTCAATTGGAGGTAAAAACCAATATCTTTCAAATATCTTAACCGGTAGAAACCATATTCAATTCGGTTAATACCATAGTTAATTTTTCAACGGATGTAAATCATGTTTGAATAATATTACACATAAACTGTAGTAGTATGTTTTTGTTTTTACTAACACAATAGCCTGATGGCAGATTGGCTGATTATGGCTTATTATCAAATATAATTTTCTAACACAATAAGCATCATCTAGAAAATTCTTTCGCGGGCGGCGATGGTGGTGATGACGATTGTATGCATTGTTACATACATGACGTCACAACTATTCTTGATAAAACGTTTTATATACTAGTTGTGGACCGTTGTGTGTTAATTTAATTATCATGAATATGATAACAGTGTTTTTAAATTATTATTATTATTATTATTAGAGATTTTTTTAAAACGAATTGATTGAAAATTGTTAAATACGTATGTATTTCACTGGGTTTTTGGTGATGTTTTGAGTAAAAATTATTATTATCTGATAATAATAATTTATTATATTATTGAATACCTGTGTAGCCTATTGAAGTCAATAGAATTAAATCAAATGATGATAACGTTTTTTTTTTTTCATTGTCAAACTCATTGTTTGGATACTAAAAAAAATCAACGGTTATAGTTAGGTATAGAAATACTCTAATATTTATAACATATAATATATATATATATAATCACTAATATTATGTATTAATAATAATAATAATAATATTATTTATCTCTTAATGATTACACTTAGTCAGATTAAAAATTATTATTCAAACAAAAAATGTAGTGTAATATTCAAAATTAAATTTTATTTTATCTTATATATA